GGGCTGCCGAGTGGGACGTGCTGAGCGTGCTCACGTAGTGTCCTGTGCCTTTCTCACAGGTGCCTGCGGAAGCAGCACAGAAACGAAGCTGTGTCTGAGGTTATCGGAAAACGCTGCACTTACTTGGGAGACGTGGGTCACTTTGTTTACCGAGTTTGGAAAATTCCCGTACTACTACTTACGTTTTGGACTTAATTGAACTTGGACGTGGTCTGAGTTAGAACCACTTGTTTGGGGGAAGTATTCGTGGGTAACCTCTTTGAGGTATCTTGGCCTGTCTTTCCTCTTTAGTTGCACACAGCCTAATTCTAAGGTTTTGGTATTTTGGAAAAAGGTTTCTAGAGCAAAAGCTTGATCCTCACTTTGTGACTTTTTTTGTGTGACAGCTTTGACTTTTTTAAAGTGGAGCCAAATCTCATTCGGCAAACGTGGCAGCCAGTTGCATCTTTATAACCCAACTGGCCTCTGGTGCTGCTGGCCTGGCACCCCCCAGTGCCGTAGGTTGGGGTCTCAGGAGTCAGGCAGGGCCAGCCTGGGGACGTGCGGGGGTGGGTGGGCCTGGGCAGGGAGAGTGGGGGTGTCCCACGGATCATGTTGTAGAAGCAAACCAGACAACCCTTACATCCAGAGCCGTGATGTCAAGGTTGAGGGCTGGTGGGTGGTGGGGGCTAAGTCCCGGAGGCTTAGGAAGGGGTCCTGAACGTGAGCTAGGAACTGTTGCTCAGAGCCTGGCTTCCATACGAATCAGGGTTGGGGACCAAAGCCCTGTGGTGTCCCTACCCTTCCTGCCCCGTCCCTGCCATCCCCTGACCCAGGCCAGTCACTGTTGGACTCTGGCCACCGTTCAGTGTCTCATCCACTTGGAAACGAGCCAGTCTTTTTTGCAAGGTCGGTTGACCGAGAACATATTTCTTCTTGATTGTAAATAGTTCTGTGTTTTTGTTTTACAGGTGGGTGGAGGGAGGGTGGGGAATATAAATTTGTTGCATGAGTAAATGGGTCAGACCTTTAGTATAAGCATGCGCCCTTCTGATGGACAGGGCATTGTGTTGAACATAAGCACCTTGGTAACTAAACCCCTTTAAATAGCTATAAAGGTTTTAGTTCTGTATTGATTCAGTTACTGTAAAAGCTTGGGTTTATTTTTGTAGGACTTAATGGCTAAGAATTAGAACCTAGCAATGGGTTGCTCTGTTGGAGTAATGTAAATTGTAATTATAAATAAACGTGCAAACCTTTAAAACTTTCTTCTCTGCTCTGAGAGTAAAATCGTTCTGTTGGTTGTGCTGCTGGAGTCCTATCCTGTCTGCCGTGCCCGTCCCGAGGCAGGAGCTGTTCAGGCCTCGCGCTAATAGGCTCCTTGGCGACATCTGCTCTCGAGTGACGTTGACCCGGTTGGTCTGGGTAAAGGGCATGAGCCAGCCCGAGTGTGCAGCGGGCCAGCTTCCCAGAACAAGGGGCTCTGCTCTCCAGACATGGGACAAGAGCTGGTTCTAAAAGCTCTGTCCACAGTAAACCTGCTTGGGAGATGCCTGTCCCCCACCCCAGGCTGCTTGGAGCTCCTCCTGTGTCCTCTGTGCCCTGTTCCAGGGCTGGACCCCGCACCATCCAGAACAGCAGACGTGGCTGTTTGGACCGAAAGCGCCCCGCATCACTGAAATGGGTTTCTGGGGGTCTTTGAAAGGCCCGCCCCATCCACCGTGTCACTGCTCCCTCGGTGCCTGCCTGTGGTTCCGCTGGGCCCAGAGCAGGCCCAAGCAGCAGGGGGCTGGCCTGCAACGGCACGCACCGTGGTCAGTTTCACAATTTCAACAAGTTCTCAGCAACCTTCCTTTTTGGGGAAAACAACTAACATCCTTGGCCAATAAAAAGTTAAAATCTTCCATAGTCAGATGCAGGTAGCCAAAACACGAATCCTCCACGAAGTAGGTGACTCAGCGGTCGCACTAGGCAGGTATTTCCTTTAGGCGATCTAAATATAGTCCCGTCACAGTTTACCACAATGACTAACTTCACTACTGACGCTCTATGCTGACGTTTTGACAATTCTACATTTTACACCGAGCTCAAAACGTATCTGGGCGTTTTTACTCCTTTCTAGATCGAATATATACGTGCCATTCAGTGAGAACCCAGTGAGGGAAGCTGCAGACGGAGGTGGGAGCAGCGCCCTGGAATCCCAAGGGTACAGCTGGCAGGGCAGCCGGCCCAGGGACTCAAAGAGCCCTTTGTGCCATTACCCAGTGGGGCAGGGGTGCCCGATGGTGGTCCTGTCACCGGGACTGGTGGCAGAGCTTCCTGTGAAGCTGTGAAGCTGCAGGGGTGAGGGCGAGGCCGCTGCTGGCTGGAACCTGGAAGGGCCATCTCTGGCGGGAGAGCAAGCACAGGGGACAATCAGCACCAGGAACTCAAGGGAGAACACACAAGTGCGAAGACTTGATCTAGGGAAACCAGAAACGACTCGTTCTGAACACGGCTGCTGCTCTGTGGGATTCTGAGTGAAAACCAACTGGGCGCCACGTGTTCCCTCACGTGTGTCTGTCAGGAAGGAACAAGGTCCGTCTGCTAGCCCCTCTGGGAAGAGAAACTCGGGAGTCTCGGCGTCTGTCTCTAATGCCGCGCGCCTGTCTACAGCAGCCGTCACGTTTGGCGTGCGCTCCTAGCGCTGCTGGACTCCCAAACCAAAAAGTTGGACACCCCTGGCCCGCCACCAGTAGCTTGGCGACAAGAGCACAGAGGAGAGCGCACACTAAGGAGAGCGCTCAGACGCAGCGAGGGGAAGACCCCCTTTCTACAGAGCCGTCCTGATTGCACCCAAGAGACACACGCTCTGAAGAAAAGGTTAACAAATAGGAAGTTTATTGCAGGACCCTTGGACAGTAGATGAGTGGAGGGAAATGCCTATGTATCACTTTGAAAATCCATGATTTGAATTTAAAAATCAATTCAAGATTTCATCATCATGATGCTTTCTTCTGTTTCTTCTTTTCGTTTTCCTCCTTCTCTTTCTCAATTTCAGCAACATACTTCTCAATTTCTTCAGGATTTAAAATCTACCAAAGAAAGTTTACAGTTAGCCTCCAAAGCGCACAAGGCACCAGGGAACCAGCACCCCCTCTCCCCTGGGGAGGAAAGCTCTGGGGCTCCGGCCACATGCACCTCACAGCAGCTTCTAACAGAAAAACTAGGGTGTGCGCGCCTGATCCGGGTGACACCGGTCAGCTTGCCACAGGTCTGCAGCAGCTTTTCAATGTGCCCAGCAGCCACGCGAGCCCCAGCCTCCCCCGGAGACCCACACGATGATGCTTACTCTTCCACTTGTTTGTGGGGAGCCTTGGGAAGAAATCTCCTGGAGCACAAGCGCCACAGGAGTAGGGTCCCTGTTCCCACCCCCCCCCCGCCCCCACCCCATCCCTGGGGATGCTCCAGAGCAAAGGACACCAGACGACCTCAGTGATTACCTTGAGGGGTTGATCACGTCTCATGACAGCCAATTCAATGTTTTTGCCGCCAGACTGAACCACCTTGGAAAGCAAAGAATAAGGCCAGGTGCCTACCTGCATGGCACCAGCACCACCCGCCCCGCCACCCCTGCTTCCACACAGCAGCTAGGCTCCCAGCCCCCCTGCCCGCCCCCCTCCCCCCAAAGCCCAACAGCTGGACGCCAGCCTGGCCTTCTGGCCACTCCCCTGCCTCTTTGGCTTTACCTGCCAGCATCTCCCAAGTGCTGACAAAGCCCAAGGCCACAGCTCCCAGCCACTAGTCCCCATTCTCCTCATCCCCCAATCTTAGCAGCGGTGTGCTCTGAGTGGAAAGTTCCACACCTGCTGGCTCCCGTCCTGCCTCTGCAGCTCCTCACCTGAGCGTGCCCTCGGACCAGCAACTCGGTCCTTGATAGCCCCAGCCGCATGAGGGAGCTGACAGCACCGGGGCAGGGCCCGGCCGAGCAAGCCCTGGGGCGCCCAGCATTACCGCCGGCGGCCTCACCGCCCCCGCTCCTGCTGCCTGCACACAGCCGCCCACTTCTGTGCTGTCCATTCTGCCCAGCCCAAGCACCAGATTTCAAATGCAAACGTACTTCCAGGAGGGCCTTGATAACCAACTTAATGGTCAGGTCGTCTGTCTCGATGGCTTCGTCAGTGTAATTCTTCTCCAGAAACTCACGCACGGACTTGGCGCCCCGGCCTATAGCATTAGCCTGAAAGAGGAATGTGTTCTACAGTGCGGGGCACGACAATCCAGAACCGGCCCGAGGACAAGACCGCAGCTGCCTGGGCCAGCCGTGTCAGAGGCAGCCTGGCCCCTTGGTCCTGCCCTATGGACTCCTTTCCCAAAGAGCTATTTGGAACTGGTGCTGATCCTTAGCCACGAGTGGGATTCTCCTTTGTTACTGAAAGACACACGGGTGACTGTGCTTCGTGCCACATACCCCCATTGCTCCCTATCCTTGGACATGGTCTCAAACAGCAACGTCTAATGACTCCTTCGCTCTATCAGCAAGAGCGTCACAGAACAAACAGGTAGTGAGTACGCGTGCACGCGCACCCGCAAGACACGGCCTCCTTACACCAGCAGGAGACCCGGTACCTTCCAGTGGCCTCTGCAACTTTTTACTGGCGAGACCGCCCGAAGACCCTCTGTTTTGTCAGGGCCTCACCTTCCAGGCATGGTACGTCCCCGAGGGGTCCGTCTGATAGAGTCTGGGGGTGCCGTCAAAGTCGAAACCCACAATGAGGGCGGAGATGCCGAACGGCCTGCGCCCATTGCTCTGCGTGTAGCGCTGGCGGGAGAAGGAACACGTTAATGCCTCAGCACGAAAGGCCCCGTGGAACCCACCCTAAGTCCTCTCTCTCTCTCTCTCTCTCTCTCTCTCTCTCTCACACACACACACACACACACACACACACACACACACACACACACACACACACACACACACACACACACACACACACACGGCGTTCCCAACAGCTGAGCCTTCGCTGAAGGAATGGAGACATTCAAGTTATCTGCAGTTCCAACAATGAGGGACGTGAGCCCGGACTACTCAGCGGTCCTCCTCCTCTTGTGCAGTTTGGCTCAGAAAGGTGTGCAAGACCTGCCCGCGACCGAACGCATCGTAGAGCACAACTGAGACCGCTGGAACCACTCTGACAACACACGCGCTTTGGCTACACACTTGACTTTAAAATGACCGGCACGTCACCAGAGGGTGGAGGTGGCTCTCAGCTCCTCCCAAATGCTTGGAAGCCAACCGTTCAGGACATCAAGACAGAGACTATCACGTCCCTTCAGAAACGTGAATTTGGACCGTCCCACACCACTAAACGCAAACAATGCCACGAAAGTGGATAACCTACGGTAAGTTACATTTGCACAAAGATCGGGACTGTGCGTGGAATTAGAGCAGTTTTTTGATTCCCCTGAAGGGACCTCTGCAAACAGGTACACACAGGTACCATGAACTACTGTGGGGGGATGCCCACCTGCTTCAGACTGGCGATGTAGCGGGTGATGTACTCCACGGTGACTGGGTCCTCCACGGTCAGCCGGTGGCTCTGGCACTCCACCCGGGCCCTGTTGATGACTATCCTCGCGTCCGCAGTGAGCCCTGCAAGAGCAGAAAGACTGCCACCGGAGCCACGCCTCATCGGCTCCCATCGGGGACGGCACAGGTCACACGACCACACGGCAGTTACATACTCCAGCCAGTCCTCTGAAACCCAGCTCTCAGGTCATCTGGGTGATGGACGCCGGGGTGATCATCCTCTGGCTGTGCACAGAGGCCTCGGACAAGACACGTCAGTCCCTAGGTTAGTTTACATGAATTGGGATCTTGCTAGAGTGGACCCGCACGGAGGAGCTCGGGAAGCCACGAGAGTGCCCGGGGCACACAGCATGCCCCACAGCAGGGAACTGTGGTCGGGGAAAACCAGGCTCACCAAGCCTGTCTCCAGACTGTAACTGTGATCCAGTCATGCGCCAGCAACAGCAAAGCCTCCCACCCCTGAAAGCTTTGGTGAAGCTGGCAAAGGTCCCAATCGACTCCTTTTAAATGACTTTAGTTTCCCCACTTTCTAGATCTTCCAAAAGCCAACCCACTGAGACGGCCTCCAAAGTGCTAATAAGGGCCTCTGAGGACCAGGGCACCGGCCCCACTCACCTGCGAACGCCATGCAGACGTTGTCATCCAACGCGCAGATCTTGCGGACGGTTCTCTCATCCTGCAGTTTGGCCACTGATTTCTTCTCCACGCCCAGAACAACGATGTCCTTCCCTCGCACGCCGACCTTCAATAAAAATCAACACGGTGCTTAAGAAAGCAACGAGAGTTTTGCCATCAGGCTCAGGGCGCTTAGCAGATGGTAACCGGGACCTGCGAACACCCTGGGGGTGGGGGCCCCACGCTTCACAGATCACAGATACTGACCCATTTCTGGCAGAGCTGGCCCAAGTGTCACGACCTGGGCGCCCACTCCTGTGCACTGAACGTGAAGTCTCAATTACAACACAGTAACTGTTGTGTATATACCTTCAACCGGGAGAATCACAGAGACACATGCGAGGCTTTTAAGCCTGAGATCCTGACATTCGAGACAAGTGCCCCGAAAGCAATGTTTCTGTAGCTGTGAAGCATGTTAAAACCCATGCTGGGGGCACCTGGGTGGCTCAGTCAGTTAAGCATCCAGTTCTTGGTTTCCACTCAGGTCATGATCTCCCAGTGGCTTGTGAGATCGAGCCCCCGAGTCGGGCTCTGCGCTGGCAGTGCAGAGCCTGCTCGAGA